TCGTTCCAAGTCACTGCTTGTTTTCCCCTTTTGCTTTTGGTTGCCTTCTTCGAGATGGCTGTGGTGTTTCTTGGACCCATTCGTCGTCGTTGTCGAGGTTTACAGTTTGGGATTGAGATAATGAGACTCGAGATGATTGTGTTTGGAATTGTTGTGGTTGAAAATTGAAATTGTTGAGAAGGTTGTTGAAAACCTTGGAATTGGGGTTGAATGAATGGTTGTTGTGATCGTTGTTGTTGGAAGAATTGTGGGTTGTATGGAAGGTTAGTGAATAAAGGTTGTTGTTGGATTGGAGAGTTCAACAATTGCATGTATGTTTGATAGCCATTTGGAGTGTTCGGGGTGGTTGGGGGTGTTTAGAGTGGGTGAGGTATTTTGGTTTGGGTCCATTTTTGAAGAAAAGATAAAAAAAGTAGAAGAAATTTTGTATTTTAGAAGTGTCAAATGAAGGTAAAATGTGTAGTATATATGTAAAAGATATAAGATGTTATTTAAAGTTAAAAGTTTAATATATATTTTTTAATAATTGATTAAACAGTCGAATATACGACCATTAGTTTCTCTCTCCCTTCCCAATTGGCTGTCTTCGTCCGTGGAGAGTACTACGCCACAAGCCACCTATGCGCACCTGGGGCGGTGTTCACACGTAGGTTGGCTTGCCAAGTCAGCCTTTACGCATAGTTTTCCCTTCCATACCCTAAGGCCTTATCTTGCCCACACTTGATTCAACTACCATTTAGTCAATAAGACGCCAACTATTCCACACTTTCTCTCTCTAGTCTCTATAAAACAACTTCGATTTCACTTCAGGTTGGGTTTTTGTTGAGTTTGAGGGGAATTGAGATGGGTTTTTTTATTGTTTTTTCTTAACCCGTTTATAAAAATCATTTTCTAAACACAAAATACAAAAAAGTCACAACATATTTTCATTATTTAATAAATTCGACAACCAAACTATTCCTTTATTCCTTTATGTTTCTATGATTCAATAATTTAGTAACTAAATACATAAAATGATAGAAACACAATACTTTTCCATCCTATCATAAAACCATGTAAACCAAAAAACATTCTTTTTAAACGATCAAAGCGCTATATATACTCATTTAATCACTTCAAAAATTTGTTCACAATTTGATAAAATGATGAAAATACCTCATTAAAATCCACAAGTAAATCTATGCAAATTCATCACTTGAACAAATCCAGTTTCCATAGAAGCCTAAAATTGGTTTCCAAATCTATAAGATCAAAAAGGAGCCATGCTAAAACACAAAACACATTGAGGATCAGTGGATTGTTCATCAGTTATGATATAGCTTCCACATTCACTATGGAATGCATGACCACATGCAAAAATATCTACAGCAGGAAGAAGAATTTGGTACTTATTCTCATCATCACTATATCTGTCATATTCATCATCATCATCATCATCATCATCATCATCATCATCATCATCATCTTTGTGAGGTGAACATGAAAGATCCTTATTGCAAAAATTACACTTATGCCCACACACTTCATTGTCAAGACCTGTATAGAATATATAGTTAGATGTTTTTTCTTGAATACTTGAGAAAATGGAAGGAAAAAAATTAATTCATATAACAAATTTTTAAAAAGTTAGAACTTAATGGAGAAAGCAATTTTTTTATTCATCAGTTGTTCTTTCTAATCTAATATTAAATAAAAAATAAACAACACCTAAATTTTGAAAATTCTTTAACTTTCTACACCTAAAACAAAAAAAGGTGGGAATAGGGAATAGGGAATCTCTTGTAAGTGCAAAAGACGTTAATGCCCTTCTTCATCATTGAACATAGCACTAAAAAGTTTGTTACACAAGCTTTGTAGCATTATTTTCAATAATAAGAATGACAAGGACATTTACGTCTTTTGCACAAACACTCTTTTAGGTAGGAGAAAAAAAAATGCAACTTTTATCTGTAAACATACCTTCCCATCTGATATGATGAATTGGAATATAAGATTGTGATTCGTATCGAGTAGGAGAAGATCTTTTCTTTTTAACAACTTGTGAAGAAACTTTTGAAACATTAGTTCTTCTAGAAGCTTCCGGAGCATTAGGTTTTGGAATAAGCTTGGTTTCCTTGTTTCGGGTTGCAACTTGAGGATCTTTAGAAACTACTTTTTGCCTTGTATTATTATATGGTGGAGGGAGCTTTGTAATTTGATTTTTATGAACTTTACTCTTTTGGTTATTATCTCTTGAAGTGTCCTTTAGGCTTGAGGTTTTCACTCCAGATTTTATAACCTCTTTTTTGCTTTTAATAGACCTTGGTTTGACCTCATTAACCTTACTCTCCTTAGGGGTAATAATGTTATTTTTTGAGGTGGATGCTTTAGAATTGGAAGAAGAATCTAGAACTTTTCTCCTGGGATATTCTACTTTGGAAACCTTGCCAGTATTCATGCTTCTGGAAATTGATGTTGCAGATGTCTTTAAACCTTCATCACCTATAATTGATGCATGAGTAAACATAAGTAAGACAATTGCATGCATTTACATAAAAGGATTGTAATAAATGATTTATAGGTTCAATTGCTATAAAAATTTAACATCGACTCAAAACAGGAGTGTTATGAATCTGTGAATTGGGATAAAGTAAATGACTGTGAACAAAAGCAATGATTACTAATTCCTAGGCACCTTTGCTCTTCTAGTTATGAATGCTTGTGATACAATTCGAATTGATTATGTTTAAAATCAGCATGAACTAATTACACTTTTATTCAATCCATTTATTTGGATATTCTATGTAAACAGTTATACAGATATTCAAGTGTAAAAGTTCGATCGTGATTATAAAGTATATTTTCTAGTATATTTACAGAAAAAAAAATTTCTAAAACATTTTTAACAAAGCGTACAGAAAACAGAAGGCAACGGATATTCATAGCATTCTTTAGCCAGATATTCAAGGAAACTAAGCTCCTTAATTGCAAAAAGTTAATAATTAACTAATCAGGGGCATATATCTGGTTTACTTTTGCTAATATGCACAAATGGAAAAGGTTTAATGTATTATCTACACTAATTACTCGAAACTGGGAACTTGGGCAACTTCTGTGTCCAATAATAAGTACGCCTAACTGAAAATCATCGTTCAAGTTCTATTTTACATTTGATGGTTGCAACGAAAGCAAAAGTTAAATTTACAGAAGATTATAGGCGAAGAAATATATCGTTAAAGAGGAATCGGCGATTAGAAAATCACTAACCGGAGAAGTGAAACGTTAAGATGAATAACGATGAAGAAGAAGGCTTTAGCGAGAAAACATCCGACAATCGACGCCGGAGAGATTATCGCGGAAGAAATATAGATGTGCTCATGGCCGGAGAGAAATAGCCTCAGGGTTTTCTACTTTCTAGGGCATTGATCGTTTATTATATAGGTTACGCTGTGGGCCCAGCCCGATATTTTTTTACTCCGTTAAAAATTCGGGGCCCAATATATTTACTACTATTATACATACATATTAAACTTGGAACATGTTCGGGGAACAGTAAACCTCAGTATTTTTTGTCACAAATGCTCCTTTCGTTGTGTGTTTACTTTTTCTTTTTTTGTCTGTTTTTTATATTTTGGAGGGTGTTGTTTGACAGTTTTTATAGATTTTGTTTGCCTTTCGCCCACGTGTTTCGTTTAGGCCTCGTTCCCGAGTTAACAAAAGAAAAGAAGAGAAAAGAAAAGAAAGTGATAGAGAGAAAAGTAGAGAAAGGAAAGGAAAAAAAAAATTTCTTTTGTGTTCCCGAGTTGGAGAGAAACGGAAGGGAAATGAATCATTTTGTTTTTTCTTTCCAAATCCTTCCAAATCGGAAGAAAAGTTAGGAGAGAAAGTAATCATCTCATTTCCCTCAACTTCCCTCCTTTAATGAAACTCGGGAACACCAATTTCTTTTATTTTCTTCTCATTTCCACCCATTTCATTTCCTTTCTCTCATTAAGTTGAACTCGGGAACCGGGTGTTAGGGTTCGTTCGCCGTTTTCTTATCCAATTACGCTTTCACTGCTGTTATTTTTTATTTTTTTAAAATTTTATTGTTTTCTTGGGTGTTCTCTTCTGTCTAATTTTGTTGTCGGTTTTCATGTGGGCATTTTATGCCATTTTGTATGTTGTTTATGGATAGGTGTTGTGTTCACCGTTTTTTGGGCCAATCAGCTATCGATTTCTGTTGTTCTAATCTACAACCCACCGCTCCATCTGGATCCTTCCCCGAGTGATTCTCTGTAGAAGCTATTGAGAACCACCATCCCCACCGTTTACTCTTATCATCTCTCTCTCTCTCTCGATTACCTCGACCCGCTTTGGAATTGTTCCTCTTTCCTTTTTTCTCTGTCTCCACCCGATTGTTCCGTGTTGATCAGAAGTTGTTGTTGGAGATGACCAGAACATGACCTCCACCGCCATTGAGTATGTAAATAGGCCACGACTACGAACAGAGTCGTCAGTATCAACTGCAGCCGCCGACTACTCAGCATCGCCTCCACCTTTACAGACACATCGTCATCACCTTTCGCCACCGACTCACCGGTACGCTGCTCATCCAATTTATCCGTTCAGTTTCTTCCCAACGTTTGATTTCTATCGTCTCTTGCAGATGACTTAATGGATTACTTAAATAGTTCAATAATTCCTCACGTTTCCACTGAAAGATAGAGATCGATAGAGAAGGTAAAGAAACAAAAGTTACAAATCGATTGTTTGTGCTTGTGTGTTCGATTGTTGCTAACGAAGAAGGTAGATAAAGAAAGGGATAAATAGAGATTAAGAGGAGAACAAAGCCTCTAAACTTTGTGGAGAAACTGAAGAATAAGCCGGTGAACCACCGTGCATCGTTGCCTTCTTTTTGCTCTCTCTAAAATCTGGCTTTTGTTAAAATAAAAAGTAGAAATAATAGATGTGGTTACCCCAAATTACTCAACTGATATCGTTTGTGTCCAACAAAAACAGTCTTTAAGCACTTACTTTTCATGTTCTTGTGTAGATTTCAGACAGAACAGAAAATAGAAAAGCAAAGGAAAGCAGCAACTGCAGATCGATCGCAGAGGAAACTACGGGAATATCTTCATGGTTCGTGTAATGAGGGTATTATTGTAATATGCAATGAAGTCAGTTCCTATGGTTGAGATTGACGGATTACAAAGCAGTTGCTCTTAAACAAAGTCAGAAGGTCCAACAGGAGCTGGTATGTATTTTCTCTTATAACCTACTTTTAAGATCCAAACCTCTTCAGTAGTGATAATAGCCTTAATATGCTGAATTGATGTATTAATAGCCTTACCAGAAATTTTAGTAGACAAACCAGTAAAGAATTTCAAACATGATCTAAACTAAAAACGCATACCTTTGTTGGAATCTTGATGATGGATTGATGTTTATAACGCTACATACAAAATAGAACATGTTTTCTTTTTTATGACAATTTGCTTCGTGTTCGTTAATGCATAACTTTGACATATTTGGTGAAAATTTTGATTTATCTATTAGTTAGAATCAAAGGAAGGACTATACGTGAAGAACTTTATATACAAAAATTAAAATGAATTTTTGAGTCAAAAATATTAGACAGCGAGGTTTAACATTGCAAAAAATAGTTCGAAAATGTGCCTGACTACAAATTCATGTATATGATGTCGTGCAATAAGACAAATTTCAAAACCAAATTATAAAATGTAAAATTTGCCATAAATTCTACCATGATGATTTTTTTTTAACAGTTAAACTATTGATATATTTATGTATCACAATTGAAACTATTCTATGGAAGATAACAAAAATTGTCATATATAGTTATTCTAAAAGATACAGTAACATTTTTTTTAACTACTGAAAGGATGCTGTAAAAGAGTATTTCCGAAGGCAGATGGTCTGAAAAATATGTATCCCGGTATGTTTTCTTTCATTTATGTAAATTCGTATCTCGATACACTTTCATACATTTGCATCCCGATACGTTTGCTGAAAAATTCGTATCCCGGTATGCTTGCTGTAAAAGAGTATAGTTTGAACAGAGTCATTAGAGTTTTCATACATTTGCAGATGGAAAATTAAATCAAAAAATAAATGTCTTTTAATTATATACTGGTATGGAGGGACTAAAAAGAAATTGACTGTTTGTTGTAAAGTCACTTATCTTCTTCATTTCTTTCATGTCCTTCACACACAAACTTCATATGATGTGCAGGTTTGAAAGAATTTGAAGGGGGTGAGAGAGAATGACTGAATGAGCTATTGTTCAGATGACACAAAATTACGGCTGGTGCAATTAAACAACCCAAAAAGGTATCTGTTTAAAACTTTTAATTTTTTTCTGAAGAACACGAGGGATGCTTGACTTTTATATTTTTAGTGTTTTGTGAAGGGTTTCATTGACATGTTTGGATTCGTTTATAGGCAAGAGCTTAATATTGTGATTAATTTGGTGTTAAAAGCTTACTAGCATTCTATTTTTCAAAGTTTTAATGTAGTTGATAAACATACAAAGGACGTGATGTTTATATTAATAAAAATCAATTGTTACAGTTTTAGGACAATATTGCCCTAAACACTGTTTTTTTATTAATAAAAGTCAATTTTTATAGTTTTAGGACCATATTGCCCCTCCACACTGTCTTAATATTAAAAAAATAATTTTTTGCATCTTTAGGATGTCTTAATATTAAAAAAATAATTTTTTGCATCTTTAGGACCATGTGCGCACTTTTTATATTGATAAAACCAATTTTTTCAGATTCAATACCACATTGAATGGAATTTGTTTGCACTGATTCATCCGATGGCACAATCACATCCGGTGGCTACTCACATGGTTGCTGATGAGCACTTTGTGTTGCATTGGGCAGACAATTTGCCACTTGATTCCGGTGCTCCATTGCTATGTGTTTTGATCACAACTTGCAACCGAACAAAAAATGTCACATCCGTCACTCACCTAGTTATTATTATCTATGAATTGTGCTTTATTAAATTTAGAGTAGCTTTATACGTATTTAGTAGGTGTGATCCGTGTATTTTATGAGTTTTATTAAAGAAGTTAATATAAATTGTTAAGAATTACATGTTTTTTTAGTAATTACTAGTTGTGAGATCCATGTAATACAAGAGTTAATTTGAAAAAAAAAAATTAAATATAAATGTCAAAATATTTGAAAACTTTGAATTTATAAGAAAATAAGAAAAATAATGAATTATTATAATTGAAATGTTTTTTATCTTTTAAATTTAAACAAATAATTTAAATAAATAAACAAAAGAAACTAATGAGCTTTAATTTGAGTATTTTGAAATTAAAATGTAAGTTCATTAATGATATTGATATCCATTTATTACTACATTTATTGTAATTATTATATTAAAATATTATGTTTAATTTAATAAAATAAAAAAACTTATAAAGTGAAATGTGGAAAAAAATTAATTTAAAATAACCACAAAATTACATTTGACCAATTGAATGAGGGTGTGACATATAACAAAAAAAAACATTTATTTATAAGAGTAGATTTTACATAAATACAAAAATCTATAACGGATAAATTAACTATTTCAATATATAAACAAATAAAATAAAATTTTACATGTTTATAAAATGATGATGACAATAATGATGTAAACATTAAACATGAATTAATTAAAACTTGCTACATATATAAAAACAAAATGATGAATAAATAATTAAGTTAATGTATTATAATAATAACAACTATTAAAATATTGACACTTATTTTTAAGAATTACAAATTTCCAAAGACTTCTTTGAATACAACATTAGATGTCGTGTTGGTAAGTTTACCATCTTTATCTAAAATTAATATATTTAATCCAGCTTTACTTTTAACTCTCGACAATGCAACATATAACTGTCAATGAGTGAATATTGGTTGTCTAAAAAACAACCCTACATTTGATAGTGATTGTCCTTGACTTTTATTTATTGTTATTGCAAAACATACAGCCAGTGAAAATTGTCGTCTTTGAAATATGAAAGGAATCCTTTTATCTGAAGGCGTCAAAAACATTCTTGGAATAAACGTACGGTTCCTGATATTACTTCCCGATATTATCTCAGTTTCTATAACACGTTTACCCAATGCAATAACGCGTAGCCTCGTGTCATTGCACAATCCATATTTTTATCAATATTCCTTAGTAACATTACCGGAGCACCGACTTTTAACAGCAACTTATGAATTGGCATACCTGAAGGTCTAAGACCATTTAGAAAATCAGGAGAGTATAAAGTTTCATCAACTTTATCATGAACAATATCTGCATGAGAAAGACTATCTGAACTTAAATACTCTTGTGGATCTCCTGGAAATAATTTTAACAAACGCTCATTAATTTCTTGAACGACTTCATTCCTCGGTGCAAGGATTGCTCTTTCTTGAAAATAAATTGGATTCTTGGCATTTTCAACAATAGAAGGATAGACAAATCCAATTAATGAACCAATATGATCAAATGAATCAACAATGAGAAGATAAGTAGGAATATCAATAATTGCCTCGCCATCATTCAAACCACCAACTTTTCCTTCTCCTATATCTAAAATCCATTTTGCAAAAGTCGTCGTTTCTTGAATATCATATGTGAGAACACTTAACCTCATGTTTTTTGTTAATGTTAAGACTTTGCAACTTGACCAAATATAAGAGGAACTTAAATAAGCATTCACAATGTCTTGCCTGCTTCCATTAGGAACAACTGGTAGAATTTGTCTAAAATCGCCTCCAAAGACAATTGTTTTTCCTCCAAACGACAGTTTTGAGTTGCTACGAAGATCACAACTCAATATATCTTTCAAAGAACGATCCAATGCTTAAAATGCATGCTGATGAATCAAAGGTGTCTCGTCCCATATAATCAAGGATGTTTTTTTTAACAATTCAACTACATCACTATTCGGTGCAAAAGAAAAAAAGGAATCCTCAGTAAGATTTATAGGAATTATAAAGCGTGAGTGTGTTGTTCTACCTCCGGTTAGTAGCAATGAAGCAATACCGCTTGAAGCATCATTTAAAACGATATCACATTTAGATCTTATACATGCAGATAAAGTCTTCCAAAGAAAAATTTTATCGGTACCTCCATAGCCATAAACAAAAAGCACACCTCCTTTTTTCTGTTTAACAGTAGTCATGATTTCATCAAAAACTTATCGTTGTTCAATCGTTAATGAATCAAGTAGTTGATGAGATTCTTTTTGTAGATTGTTCATATCAAAATCTAACTCCTCAGTAATCAAACGGTTTTTTGAAGAAGATATCGAATCATGATCAGGGTAAGGCATCCCAACAAAATCTTTGAGGCTTGAACTGTTTTGGAGTAGAATTTTTTCAATCTCATATAGTGTCAAGTGTTTAAGCTGAACGTCATTAAGGGATAAACTTGTACAATTGCAAAGTTAATTCTTAAAAGATAAATATACACAATTATCACGTAATAAAAATAATGTGTATAAAAAAATAAAATATTTATAAAAAACATCAAAATTTCAAATAATAATATAATTAGCATTTGAAAAATATATAAGTAATGTATAAAATGTAAGGAATGACAAAAATAATAATACCTAGAGACTTTAATCTCATTCGTTGATTGTAGAGAATTCCATCGGATAAGTATTGCTAAGTATTTTCACAAACATAACACGGTTTAGACAAACTATTAGACTTTAACATAGTTGTAAATAAAAACCGTAAATAATAACCAGATCCTGAATGACTTGCTTCCTTGATGGCATCAATATATTCTCTATCATCTTATAAATGTACAAGAGCATAACATACATCTCTAAAAGTTTGACATACTTGTCTATTAACCGTACAAATATCTGTAAATGATTTCAGACCTTTGACTTTATTTAAAAGAATTCTAAAAAAATATGCTTCACCGAGATTAGGTGAAACTGTGTGAATCCTCCTAATAGAAAACCCTTTTTTTTCTTGGCTCCCAACAACGATCTTCTTGTTTCCATAAAAATTTTGTAGGAAACTCAACATAAGAAAGTTTTCATGTATCCTCATGATATTCATTAAAGCTCATCCAAGATAATAATATTGAAGAAGAAACAGATTGTTTGTTGAGGACATCTTCAATATCATTATCTGCTCCGTATATAACATTTTGTTTTCCAGGAAGATGGAACGGAAGCCTTACAAAAGAAGAGTATCTGTAATGAACATCAAATATACGCCATAAAGCTTCACATGCAGACAAATACCTACAACCATAGTAGTTCTTTATTTCATCAACTGGAGCATCATCATTATCACCTCCGTTGTTGTTTTGTACAACTTCAACAGCAGCCCGATCATGACCGTTGTTAATATATTTAAACAGATATTTGATGGAAGGCGCTTGATTGCACCACTCAACATTAATGTGAGCTTGATATATTTTCAAAAGGGTTTTGTGATATGGAACAACAGTTCTGTTGTCTAACTTAACACCCGACTTTTCTATAAAAGATCCATCATTATGTCTCCTATATATATGATAACCATTTGAATCAACGGAAGTATTCTCCAAGAATGGCTTTGGGAAGTTTTTTTGAACACTTGTTTTCACTCATGCATGGGCGTTTAGGATTATCAGAACCACATGGACCATGCATCATGAACTCACTGACAAGTGTATACAATTTTAGATCATCGTCTTTGTTTGGAATTTCCGCCAAAATAATTCGATCAATATGTTGAGCAGTAGGATGTTGTAATCAAAGTGCATTAATAAACATATATGTGCATGAGGCAGACTGCGCTTTTGAAACTCCATCTTATAAACAACTGTAAAATGATTTAAATAAATATAATATTATAAGATAATAAAAAACATAAAAAGACATAATAATAAAACTACTATTGTAATATAAGGTACCTGCTTGGACCAAACCCAATAACCGCTTCTTCTTTAAGTCTTTAATCAAAGAATCCAACTTAATTTTGAATAATCTAGAAATGATATCGGGCCTATCTTCGGGATTAAGCATGGTGTCAGCAGGAAACCTTTTAATTTCAGGCCACTTCGGATTGCATGTTACGGTTATGAAAAAATCTGGGTATCCAAACCACTTACAAAGCGACATGCCATCTAAATAGTTTTGCATCACGTAGTGTGCACCACCCGTAAAAGAAGAAGGCAAGATAGCACGTTTTCCGATGTTGAAATATCAGTATTAGCATGAATTTGTATGCTTCTTAAAGTTTCATAAGATTCGCATCTAAGAACTTTTTGCTGATTGCGTATGTAATTAATCTCCCAGTTTCAATCATCGTATAAGCATCAACCAGAATTTGTTGAAAAAACCTTTTTGAATTACGAATTAATGAAAAAACATTAACTCTGTCTTGAATTCTATAAGCAAAGAATTCTCTCATTGTACAGTAACGACGTTTGGTATTAGTTGAATGATCAACATCCCTGTGAGGTATGTCAACTCTATATCTATCATCTCCATATGGAAAGAGTAGTGGGTACTGAAGAGCAAGGTAAGTAGGATGTATTTCATTTATACGTTGTAGACTTCATGATTTAGTTGTTATGATAATATCTCTATTATCAATTGCATCACCAATGTCACCAACAATTAAAGCAGCAACCTCAGAAGCAGTAGGTAAGTTATATGTCCTTCCATATTATTGCCTTCTTCTTATAAGACATAACTTTAGATCTATATGAGGATTTTCATCAAAACAATATCTGGCCATTCTATATCACTTAACCAGCTCATTGGTTGAATACAACATGGCCTTCAAAAAGCTAATGATTTCAATATCAAGAGAATGAGAAGTTGATGTGTACCCTTATTTTTGTGTATTGTTAACAACGCTTATATGTAAAATCTAGCAACTAAATCATTATATCAAAATTATAAAAGTAATGGTTTATAAAAAATTAATAAATATAAACCTGAAAGCGTGTTGTCTATTTGAAACTTCCTTGTCAGTATCATATATGTATAGTTGCGAAAACTTTGGTTTGGATCCATCTATAGGTAGAAGACTTCCCATACAATGGTAATTTGACCACTAAGTCTGAAAACATATGGAGT